CCCTGCTCCTGCTGGCCACACTGTTCCTGATGCAGGCCAGGATGCCATTGGCCTTCTTGACCACCTGGGCACACTGCTGGCTCACGTTCAGCTTCCTGTCAATCCAAACTCCCAGATCCCTTTCTGCCTGGCTGCTCTCCAGCCACTCTGTGCCCAGCCTGTAGCGCTGCAGGGGGTTGTTGTGGCCAAAGTGCAGGACCCGGCACTTGGCCTTGTTGAATCTCATCCCATTGGAATCAGTCCAACTCTCCAGCCTATCCAGGTCCCTCTTAAGAGTCCTCCTGCCTCCCAGCAGATAAACACGCCCCTCCCAACTTGGTGTCATCTGCAAATTTACTAATGGTGGACTCAATCCCCTCATCTAAATCATCGATAAAGATGTTAAACAGGACTGGTCCCAGCACTGATCCCTGGGGAACACCACTGGTGACCGGCTGCCAGCTGGATGCAGCCCCGTTCACCAGCACTCTCTGGGCCCGGCCCTCCAGCCAGTTCCTGACCCAGCACAGAGTGCCCCTGTCCAAGCCATGGGCTGCCAGCTTTTCCAGGAGTATATTATGGGAGACAGTGTCAAAGGCTTTGCTGAAGTCCAGATAGACACATCCACAGCCTTCCCCTCATCCACCAGGTGGGTCACCTGATCATAAAAGGAGATCAGGTTGGTCAAACAGGACCTNGACCTGCCCCTCCTAAATCCATGCTGGCTGAACACATGCTTCAAATCACTATCATCTGAAAGGCTTGGGAATTCCAGCACAAGGACAGTATTGAGAACACCACAAATACAGCTATGGCTACATTGCTCCATCCACACTTCTGTTTGCAAATCCTGTGCCAGGTCTCTGTTTCAGCAACAGCAATGGGGAGTAGAGGCTATGTTAACAGGGACCTTTGCAGAGGGGTACCAAGTATCCCAGACTTATCTTCTCCTTTTCAGGAAATACAATAGAAAAGGTACAAAGTATAAACTCATGTAAGGATTGGAGTTGACTTTTTGCTGCCTTCAATTAATTTTTTTAACTATAAGTACAGCAATAACTATGTTGCTTGTTCATAAAACTTTATCAAGATAATCAGTTCACTAATTGCATTTGGAAGTGTTCTTAGGATAAGTGGAACCTAATGGCCCTAGAAATTGGATTTTTGTCAGATTTGGAGATCACTACTGATTAAGAGCCACAATATGAAAATATGCCACATTATTCTTTGAAGAGGCCAAACATATTTTCCTCTGTTCTCTCACAGTTCCCTAGTATGGTGGGTTTCAGTTTGTATTTTCATTCTCCACAAAACAAGAATGAAAACATTGCAATTAGACAAGATCAAATAATTTAGACAAATTATTCCAAATTACTTTTCATAAGTCACTAAATATGGATATATTTCCAGCAAAAATACAAGTTTATCTTGGAAATGAACTATTGATCTAAGGAACTGCATTTCAACAGACATTCCTGCACTTTTCCTGCAGATGACCACCTGGCATTTTGGCAGTCAGTACTAACACTGCCGCACTGAACTTCTTGAGTTCTTCACAGTCATTTGTTTGCAAAGTGGCCAAATAAGAAGCTTTTATCATCGTAAACATCATCTCTAAGAAACAGTAACAGAACTACAGTTAATTCCACAAGGTCTCAATGTATTAGAAGGAAAACAAACTCACTTTTCTGTGGATGGTTTTATTGACTATGAGAACATATTCTTTTTAATGAAAATTCTTTAAATGATGAAGATATTTGATTTCCTCCTGTCAAAGGAAAACAAAGCACTACTAGCAATCAAAAATCAAGAAAGGCGTCCCTGATTTAGTTAACATGCCACTTTGAAATAGGTCTTTTAGTTAATAAGTCACAGATGAGAATCAGTTCTTTGCATTTTTGTGAAAGTCTAAGTAACAGAAGATTTCTTCACTTCTGGCTTTATATGTAGCATTTCAAACCACGCAGTGATATGTTTAGCTTGGAACACAAAATATTTTTAAAAAGATAAATCCACAATTATGTGATTGAACCATTATTTTGTAAACAATATATGCTACAGAGGAGCACTGAAAACAACCTGTTGAAGCATGTCATTCTATAATTAGGGTTTTGCCACAAACTTTGTAAGAATTAGAATCTCATCCATTAGCTTTTGCCCAACAGTTGCTTTTACTTCCTTACAAAGAAACATGTGGTATAACTAATGGATTCTATGTAAAATATTACTACCTGTTACCTTTCAAAAAGGCCTCACTGCCTTTTGTGTTTGATTGTCTCTGTATAAGTCTAAAGAGGTTTCAGACTTAAAAGATCTAAAGCATAAAGAGAAAATTTTCTAAAGAACTAGAGTATTCTTGGACAACTTGGACTAAAAGAGCAAGTGGGGAAAAAATGTGCTTGAAATTCTAATTATTTACCTATATCAAGTACCACGTAGGACACTAGGTGGAAAAGCACTAGGTATCCTACCTTTTTCTTCCTTTGTAATTTTTTTTTCAAAACGAAGATATGGTATTCTGAACACTAGAATGGTTCCCTGAACAAACACATAATTGTAAACAGTTCAAGTAAATAGTCTCAGATTAAACATTCGATAATTACAAAGGCCAAAACTATCTTGGATGTCACCAAAGGTATGAGATCTACTCATAAATAAAGTCTGTTCCAAAAGACAGAAGGACTGTGTAACACATCTTAAAAGTAGAGATAAATTTCATAACAAAGTATAGTTTGACACTTACATAGACCCTTGTACTAACACTGCATTCCAAAGACAGCATAACAAGAGTCAGTATTTTTGTATCTCATGGTTTTGTTAAGAATGTGCTTCTGTTATACAGAATTCTCTAAGCATCACTTAATCTGAACATATCTCGATATATTACTGAGCAGCCTGTACAACTGGCAGTTAAATGCAAGTGTTAAGAAACAGATCTGCCATTTAACTGCGCTACTCCAGAGCTGCTTATTTTACTTGTCTAAAACAGCTTAAATGAAATTTGGCATTAATTTCTCCTAACTTCACAAGCAACCTCTTCTACACTTATTGTTTCAGAAAATTAAAAGTTGAACTGAAATTACACCTCTCGTGGGCTAGATTGATAGAGCCAAAAATTAAGCTTATATATATATACTAGTGCGTGCTCAACTTATTGCCTCTGGCCACCAAAAGCTGAAGGACCACTGGTTCAGCATATTTACATTTGCATGGAAGATCAACTTCAGGAAGTATCCCAGATATTTACTGTTAGGCCTGTGCTCACTAACATGGAGGTAAAAAGATATGGGTAAAGAAGAGTCTTTGTACTGAAAGTGCACTTGGCAACTTAGTGAGACAGATCTGGAGAGTTCCTAACTTTATAAAATAGGGAATTGGTGCAAGCAAATGATTACAGCTAGATCTTTCATTTTATAGGCAAAAAGGGAGAATTTGGAAGGATTGCATACCTCCTACCCAATGACAAACAAATAGCAAGGCAAATAAAAGACTGGTTCAGAGAAAACACCTTTTTTAAAAAGCATTTTCAAGCCCGGAAAAGGTTAAACTGTAGGTTTACCTTATACCAGGTAGTACAAAATAGATGCCTCATTATCTCATCCATGGTCATTTCAAGGCTTCATGATAGTATTCTCTTCAAGGCTGTCCAGTGTCTCTATAAATGGGAGGGTGAATATGGGAGGAGAGCTATGCTTTTCATGTATTCTATCTCCACCTGGAGAGTGTCAACTTGAATGACAAGGCAATTTATCATTTATAAAAATGCTTCACTATATTAAACAATTTATCTACACAGTTTTATGTTTGAAATAAAGTTGCATAGAAAGTATGTAACGACTTTGATTAGGCCTGTGACTTCCGGCATTCAAGAGGGCATTAAACAACTACATTTGTTCAGGACAAGTTTAGAAATAATTAAGAAATATCCTTTATAAAATGAGTGCGCGACATGCCCTAAACCAAAATTACTCCCAGAAAGCAGTATAAGACTGTTAACTACCATCAATACCACTAAACTCACCAAAATGCAAAATATTGTACTAAGACTTGTTGATGAACTAAGGGAAGAAGACAACAGTCACTTAGTGCAATAAAGGCAGGGAGAAATAGAACTATACACACCACCTTGCAAAGCTGCTATCAGTCCTAATCACACTCCTAAGCCTAGAATATTCTGGTAATAAACAAAAGAAGAAGTTTCTTGAGATCCAATATTTAACAAAAACAAAGTTGCAAAGAATCAAAAAACAGCTGAGTTGTGTTGTATGCACAGCATATACTGAAGATGACATTTCAATAATCCAATACTCTGGAAATACAAAACCACCAATCAATAAAACAGCTAACTATGCCAACCATCAACAACAGCCATACGGAGTAAGGTGCCATACTTTCATCCCATATCGTTGAGGCTAAAAAGCCAAACACACAAAAGCCAAACACTAATCCAACTAGAAGGCAAGGAAGGAACATTTCATGAAAGTGTATTCAAAGTATGAGTAGATAATAACAATGTTATTATACTGTAGTGTTATAATGTCATTATACTGTAATAACAATGTTGCTACAAAACAAAATCAGAGGACTTTTGTTCATTTACTAGTACTATAGGGAGAAAAAAATGTTATCTATAAAGCAGTTACATTTTTCAAAAAAAAAGGTTGTTAGTGCTTGAAGGAAGACATGAATTTTTAAAATACAAAAAAAATTTAAACATGGAGAAGTACTAGTGGGGTAGAATGAAATGAAACCTACACTGGGTAAGGTTGCTTATATTACACTGATTTTTCATTGAGACCTTTTAAACAAACTACAGAACTAAGAATGGAGTTTTCCATCTACTGACATAAAACAGAAAATGGAATGCTAGCAGAAGGAAGCAGTGCTTATTTTCTCATAATCTCTGCATTAAGGAGGTTAAGCAATACACATATTGAAATACATATATATTTAAACAAAGTAATTCAAGTCTTACATAGTCTTAAAATGAAGCAAAACTTAGAAAGCAAGAAAACACATACCTGATATACCCTGAGACTCTCTTTGTAGATCACAGTACCACAGTCTGTTCACTGGATCACAGCCTTCTCTAATAGACAGCAAGACATAGCGACCATCATCTGACACCTGTTAGAAGTTACAGGAAAATCAAAGACAATTCATGCTCTAAAGAAAAAAAATCCAACTTGAGAAGATACTACCTAAACCCAGAGGAAAAAATGAATTGATGCTATAGTTAGTTGAGTAAACACGTGTATGGAATATAAGAACTCACCAAGAACCCACAATCATCACTTAGATCAATAAATAAGTACAGTCTGATTACGTTTCAGAAGATCAAAACCAAACAGCATTATCTGTTTATTTTCACCATGAATTTTTTAAAAAAAGAAAGTTTATTATTATTAAAGTATTCCAGCTAAATAGGTGTCTAAATAAGTCACAGTGGATATCTCCTCCTTGGTGGACCTCCACAGGCTGCAGGGGCACAGCCTGCTTCACCTTGGTCTTCAGCACAGTCTGCAGGGCAATCTCTGCTCCAGCACCTGGTGCACCTCCTCCCCCTTGGTTTGCCTCCTGAGGCAAACTAAACGACACTCAGAATTTTGATTTTTGACCTTTTCATTATGTTTACACACACAAAAATCCAGTGCTGCTGTTAAATGAACATTAAGCTATAAATTTTCTAAAGTTTCCTGGTTCACTTTTGCACATGCACGACCAAATTTTCGAAATGAATCCCTCTTGCTACTTGGACTTTGCAAACATACTCTGTTTCCTGGCAAAGCTTTTGGAAGTGCAAGCCCAACAAGGAAAGGCAGGAACTAAAAAGAAGTCATCAACTTAAAGTTTCCCTCTCCTGACTGAGCTGTTTTGAGCATATTCCAAAATTACCATACTTAGATATTATAATTAATAGAGCTGACACAGGCCTTTTCCTGTCCATATTGTCCTTACATGACAATATCTAATGGAAATTTAAACCCCTAATCACAAAATATGAATCTGGGTTCTGGAAACTTTCCACTTGGCCCTAAACACATCTTCAAAGGAGTCTTATTCATACACTGTCATTACTTCTTAGACATATTTCAGTTAATATTTGCAACATTAGTTGTGCAAAATATCTGTAGAATGAGTTAAGCAAAATAAATTTCAGAAGAATTAGGTTCTAAAGATACTGCTATTCAAACAAATCCACAGTTCTGACAACACAAGAAGGGGACCTAGTAGAATAGAGACAAATCTCAGTGTATGAAAGCTAATAAAAAAGCCCCAACAAACAAAGAGTCCTCAAAACAAAAACAAACCCCAAATGAGTGTTTCCAAGTTGTATTTTTTATAGGCATTTTGTTAACAGCTAATTATACAACTAAAAAATGTCCATTGAGCTGAAATCTCACAACACAAATAGAAAACAAGATTCCTACTAGACCGAAAGAAAAGTCCCATTACATGAAACACCAAAGATAGCTTTAATAGGGCAATCTGCAAAATTGAGACATTTTGTTTCTTCCTTCCTAGACGCAAGTCTATCCAGAAAAGGAAGCCAAGATTAGGTGATCTTTCTTGAAAGAAGCATCTTCAGTGTTTTATTAGAGAAACAGTAACTGCAGGTGTCAGTTGTAATTAAGAAAATTACTGCAATACACTGCTTAAACATCTGTCCATACCTGTAAAACCACCAAGCTTCCTCCTCTTCCTCACAAAGTCAAGAAACATATCAAGTAATTGTAAGGGGTACATAGAAATATAAATTTCAGTTAAACTGAAGAGTATGACACAAAAAATTCTTTCAGTCATAGTCAGAACCCATGTAAATTTGTTCTTTGATACTGTGAGTTGAGCAGTTAAGAGAAGACTGATTACTTTCCCCAGGAAAGAACACTGACTTGCAAATTTCTGATGTTGTTACAAAGGCAATTCAGAACCTCTGACGACAGGAAATCTGAGCACAACTAATGAGTTTTTCCTTCATTATTCCCAGCTGGACTAGTTAAGAGCTGATAGCAGTTTATGTTTAATTTGAAGTAGGAACTCCCAATGCATCCTGCTGGTGGGATACCAATTAGGTCTGTCTCTATCACTAAAGCTATTCTTACATCAGTGAGTTCCATAACCCAAAGGAATTTGATAGAAACAGGACGAGATACAGTTGAATGCAGCATGCTAAAATGTTTAGCATTTATACTGCAGAGTTAGACATCCACATTGTGAAGTTATAGTTTGGTGAGCAAATCTTGGCAGCAGGATCAGCTGAGGAGGTTTATACCTCTAGCTCTTGCTACTGCTATAATTGCTTGTATCCATGCAAGTTCATTCTCCATGTCATGTCAGTACAAGTATCTGCCATTTGTGAAGTAAACTTGTCTGGGGAACTGTTCCAGCTGAAAAAATAGCATGTTAAAACAAGCAAACAAAAAAAATTCCAAAATAAACAAAACAAAGAATCCAGGAGGGGAAGGAGGAAATTAAAAAAAAAAAGACAAAACACAATAAAAAAAGAAATATAATAAAAGAAGCCCCTCTGCCATATTACTGTCTCAGTCCATTCACTGTGCAGTTGCACAAATGGCTGAGCTAACACACTGCACCGAGCAGCTGGAAACATGAATAATAGGGGCAGAGACTGCTTAAGGCAGCTCAGATTGCAGCAGTGACGAATGTGGAATCACAGCCCAAATGCCACTGACTCTATACTATAAACACACAGTATCCTGGGTTTCAGGATGGCAAAAGGAAATTGGATTTACCAACTATCATTTGGGTTATTCTTATACTGTTACATCATCTTCATGAGCTGAATTGCAATCCTTGTTCTTGGCTCACAAATTCATGAACTGAAATTTCATACTAGCATCATCTTGGAATGCCTTCATGGTTCATCATAAGGGAGACAGCTGTAATGTCAGACCTGGTTTCCTCCGTCTAAGCTGAAAAGGAAACACGTCTCAAGAATTTCTGAAAGAGATCTGGAATGCCAGCCAGTGCACATTCCTCTCATTAAAATAATTACTATAATTTCAAACAACACCCACTGGTAAAAGTAAGGAGTTTATAGAGCAATTGCAACTCTCAAAACAACATTTAGGATCTGTCAAAGCAGGACAGAAGAGATCCAATACTCTTCAACCAGAGCTTTAAAAAACCTTCAGCATAACAACGATTTTACCAGCATAACAGAGCACTAATCCCTAACTCAGCACTAGTAAAGGAAAGATTATTTCAAAGAGCTGACATTAGTACATAGCTTTTACTTTCAGTCACCTGGCAATTTTGAATTTGCTATATCTATTATTTCTTACGCATTTGTTGTGACCATCATTACACCACACCAACATAGACAGCAGTATCATTAGGATAGCTGTGCTCCCAAGTACTATTTTATTTAATCTTTCAAGCATCAAACTCTTCAAAGTAAAACCTTTATAGAGGAGTTTTGGTTTACAGTGGAGTATTTTTACTGAATTGTTTTCTTTCCTGTAGCAATTTTGTTTCAATGTTACCCATTTTTCTTCATTTTGATGAAAAGTAACCACTGCTTGGGAAAATATTAAGAAATGAAGTAGTTTACCTGTAACTTCAATAAATCAATGAGTATCAATATAATAAAAATTATTTAAAGTCCAATTAGTAAAAGGAATCTTGTAATCATCTAAATATTTCCTTTCATTACAAAATCCAATTGATTCATCATACCAACCATATAAGGAATGCCAAAGCTTTATTGGGATCCACAGCAAATGTGAAGTTAAATATTTAGTCTAGTAGCAGCACATTTCAGACCAAAAATTTATACATAATTAAACAAACAGCAACAACAACAAAAAGAATGAACAGGAGAAGGCAGGCAGTTTTCAGACTTCCTGGCTTTATGTATCATTCCTCAACTAAAATGTCAATAGGAGAGACATTAGAGTGCTCTACTTCCAAGTAATGTGCATGCCAGCAACCCCAGTGACTATTAACGCAAGTTCTTTGAATACTACCTGGATAGTCATCACTGCCAGATTAAGGACAAAGAAGAGCTCTTTATATTTAGTTCACAAATAGGGGCCCTTTGAGTGCATAGTATCACATTAAGGCAACTATATACGCACATCATTCCTTTTTAAGATAATAAATTAGAAGTTTTACTACCGTTGCCCCTTTTTACTTTCAAGGCGGAAAAAACCCCTCATTACTGCATAATTTGTTTCTGCATAACAAAATACTAAAATTAAATAAGTAAAATTCAGTTATTAGATAATACGCCTGTACTGAGGAAAAGATAAACTCTCTTTTTTAACTGCAGACATTAACACCATGATAATCTACAACCTGATTTTCATCTGTGGTTATTTTACAAACTACTGTTCTTCATGCACTAATGCCCTTTGCATTGCTATCTAATGCATTTCCAATGAAATACATCAAATCAATCACATAGAAAAAAAAATAAACATCGAAGTTCACAAAAATCACAGATGTAGTCAAAGTTTTCAAACAGAACCAAAAGGTCATATTACTAACTGGACTTCACATATCCAGCCATGGAAGGCTAAAGTATCCAGAGAAAGAAAAATGGGTGGCAAGAGAGATACAACTGTGCAATGCACAGCATTAATAACTAGGAACTAAAAACTCATTGCATCAATAAGCTGCATTTTAACATTGCTACAATTTTCATTATATGCTATGGACGTAACAGCTTAAAAACACAGAGCGACTGACTGTAAAAATCTATTTTTTTTTTTCAATTTACATTTAGGGATGCGTCTGGTCACCACAATAAAACAAATTCATGACACCTGTTACTTCCTTAACTTTACATATATGCTGCACTTTTGCATAACAATGACCCTGAATATGACTCAACTAAGAAGAATTCACATGGTGGAAACATTTCACTTGATGCAGAAATTACCTATCCTTTGTTATTTATGAGTATTTTAAAGCTTTCTATCATATGAACAAAGGGGAAAACCAAAAAGCACATGGCTTCTACGGAGGAAAAAGAAAAACCTCCCATAGAATTTGCTGAAACATTTGATCAGTGAAGAGCAATTATGCTGCCTGAACAGCCTCAAGTGTTCTAATATCAGAGATGTACACATGTTCCCATGCCACAAAGATCTGCCTGTATGATCACAAAGAACCCCACTGTAATCTCCCAGCCTTTCAAATTCCACTTTTACTATCTCAATTTTTTCATTAGGTAAAATGATTGTGAAGGGTTGGAGATTTTTTCGTTGTTTTTATTGGGGGTGGGGGGGATGGTTTGTTTTTTTTAAATGAAAGGAACATAAAGCTATGTTCTGACCTTATCTTTGCAGTGGTGCCTGTAAGTCACTGAAGCCTGCATTTACCTCCTGTCACATTTTATGTTCTAGCAATTTTTTGAGACATTGAGGACTGGGGCAAGAACTCCCTTCCAAAAAGCAACCTCTTGGGACCGTCTGCACAACCCAAGCCACCCGAAGCTGGTTCTCCCAGGCTGCAAAGGCTTTGTTTTGTCTTCTATTTGCAGAGTATTGGCTTAATCAATTAGATTTCAGAAGCCCTAATGATGGGTGATCACAGAATTGCATAATTTCAGGATCAGGTCCAACAGAAACTACTTACTACATTCTGAGGAGCAGACCTGACATACTTTATGCAGGGCATGGATATGGTTATATGTAAACGACGGTCTGATACGTTCTATGCATCCACTTCCATGGTTAGAAAACTTGCCCTGGGCATTAATTTAAATTCTTTATTCCAGACAGAATAAAATCAGTAATCTTCTAATGTAAGAAACATCACACACAAATTTTACCATGGTCTTTAGCTTATAGTAAAATAAATAAATAATAAAACTACTACGTAGCTGTCTCTTGATAGTAAAATTCTGCAGACCTATAGCCAGGGCTGCAGGAAGCTAGCGATAGTCGGCTTCTCTTCCAGATCCAGGCTTGACAAAGATAGTGTAAGGCTTTAGAAAAATTCCCACAGCCCTGTTTTAACCATCAGTATGTCTCACTTGAGCAAGCTGACAATGTTTTCAGCCCTTCTCCTCCATGCCACTCGCTCTTCCCCTGAGCATGCTGCACTTCAATGCTCCTGCAGTGAAAACTGACCACAGCCAGCACATTTTCTCCTAGTACAGCTTACTCCTGTGCTCTGAATTTCATTCGCAAGATCACCTCTCTGGTTAAGAGTCACTGATGTTAAGTGACAACTCTAAACATAAAATAAAAAATTAAAAATTTAAAAAAATGTCAATTCAGAGGCAGTGCTTGTTAAAAAACAACATGAAAAATTGTACCTGTTTTATTGCTGGCAGAACTGGGCTAGGAGGGTTCCCTTCACCCCCTCCTTTCTCTCCTATTTACTTTCCTGCCAGTACCGTAGGGACTTTTAACACTACCAGCCATGAAAGACTCTTATATAACTTATTGTTTAACTTTGAGAATAACAGCCTGTCTGTGAAAGACAGATATGCTCCGTCAGTCTGGAGAAGAAGCAAGAACATGCCTCTTAAACAGAGAAGCATGGCATGTTCCTCTTTTCCCAAAGTAGCTAAGACATTGCAAAGGTTTTAAAAATCTTCATAGCAGACTGCCCTCTACTGGAATGTTTATTCAATTAAACTCTATCCCTGCTCTTCCCAACTCCCCCACCATCCCAGAATCTGTACCAGAAATGCATATGCTTTCTCTAAACTAATAAAAAGGTTTCATAGGCTCTTTTTCAAAACTTGTACGTATGACTAAAAATAAACAGATTTTTCTCCTCACACGCAATCCCTTCCAGTGAAGAGCTGGAAATACATCTATATTTCTCTGCCAAGACCATTTTCAGCACCACAGATTTTGTTTAAATCAAGCATACTTGGGGCTGGTGTTGAATGTGTAATGAGGAAAAAAACCCTGAAGCTATTTTTTTTCATATTGTCTTGTACATATATTAAGCTGACAGAATTTTATATAGCCCTCTTTTGTCCTCACCAGTGACCTAGTTTCTTCTCTCCATTGAGAATACACACCACTCTGACTTGCTACAGTGCACCTGAGATTGCTCATTTTTTTCTGAAGCATCATGGCAACGTTATTACTGTTGCAGTCTCTGAAGGATTTCCTTCTCAGTGCTTTTCACTTGCAAGCATGGAATTTCTCTTTCTCGGCCCAGTGGCTGTGAGACCTGCAAATTCTGCTCTGAGTATGCAAGTTTTGGCTCTGCCACCACCACAGAGAAAGATTTGGTAGCTGAGATTAGAACATCTACACCATAATCCAACTGTTTTCACTGATGCTTGCGTAAAACATAAAAAGAATCCAATTTATACAGGCCTCTACCTATCTGGACCAGTGAGGCTGGTAAAATTAAAACATTTGTTTATTTGTCTGATAGGAATGCATGAAATCATTAATTTCGCAGCATGTTGAGCTGTGTATTTTAATATCTATGGCAGCATATTAGCACCAAGGAAGCACCAAAAAGCCATATAATTTGATTTTTACTAATAATACTTTAATTTTCCCCCCATTACTTTGTGGTCTTCCATGTTCTCAAACACTTCAAAAAATTCACGAGAAAACTTGTTGGAATGGCCTGAAAAGAAGATTTTTTGACCTACTGCACGAGGATGAAACCACATTTTGCAATTGCACCGTTTAATTTGTTTTTTTTTTTTTTTATTGAATATTTTTTCTCATTGCCATTAAACCCCATTTTTTCATTAGTATCACTATAAGAGAGCTGTATTTTACAGCTGGACCTCACAGCATAACCCCAGAATATCAGCTGTTTCAAAGTACTCTCACTTAGATAAGTTCATGATTATTTACTGAGGTGGATCTCTGTCTTATCACTCCTTAAAATAGCATTTATGGAACATATGTGGACATTTATGCCTCTAGAGATCAAGAAAACAGTCATAAGTAGCCATACCATTCTATGATATAAATTTATTAAGCAAGAACCCACAGGAGGAAGGTGCCCTCCCCACCTTCCCAACGGTTATGGGGCTGTTTCAACTCCAGTGGTTTCAGAACTCGTAGCTGCACCATATTCTTTTATCTTCCTGTTCTACAGCAAGAGTCTAATGAATCAGACTGCAACAGTCCTCCCCCATGGAAAATGAATTTGCCTTCATAACAACATGTGGAGTTTAGCTCATGATATTGGAAAGAAATAATAATAATAATAATGAACATCACTGAATCAGTGGATACATCACTACAAGACATCTGTCACCAACAGAAAGCCCATTTATTTATGGAACTAGGGAAAAATAAGGATAATGATTTCTAAATTCCATTTTATTGCCAGTTAAACTTAACAGAACTGACTAGTTTTTGAAAATTTAAAAAAAAAATCAAAGGCTTGATATTCAAGTTAGTTGTTAAAGGTATGTTTCATGAATACATCAGATTGTGTAAAAAAGGTTCTTGTTATTCACAGAACCTACAGATAAGTCTGATTTGTATAGAGAAAATTCAGTGTCATCACTTTGCTGGGAAGCCCTTCATGTTCTCACTCACTGTCTTATTTTAAATCTCACTGTTCAAATTCTCTGAAAGGACCTGTTTACTTGCAGCCCACAGAAAAGACTCGCACCAACATTTTCATGGGTTAATGCGTTGAAAAGTGACACAGATTGATGACCAAATTTTTTAAGAGAGACACTGTCAGGGAAAAGTATTCTATCACCCAAATCACAGTAAAAACACTTCATATTTATCAAAAGTATCAGACCAAAAAAGACCCTATATAGAAACAAAATGTATTGATTTAACATAGTAGCTAGGAGAATACAAAGTATTACAGTGGGTATTCATCCACTGGAAAAACATCAGTTCCCTGATAAACAGAATGACCAACACTACAGTCCAACAGCACTTAGTACACTCAATTGAGCACTGTGAAACCTAATATGAAGAATAAACCACATATTAACTACAAAACCCTTTGCAATATATAGTAGTAGTTCAACAAAATAAGCTTAAGAATTCAATTCCAGTAGCAGTCACTGGTTCCATTTCCAGTAACAGTCTGTACCAAATCTGTGCTGACAGAACTTGTTGCAGGGAAATCTAGAATTCTCCAATTGTGCACACAGTATTAACAGATTTTGACCTGTATGTCTCCATTCTTCAATTAAGCAGAATAGACATATTTATTTTTCAGGAAAGACATAAAAAAATACACAAAATAAATACATGGCAGCGAATATCCAGATATGCTGGTTATTGGAATGAGCTTTTTGCGCAGGAAGTAAAAGCTGGGGCTAAACACCGACCAAGAAGAAACAAGAACAGTGACACATTATCTATCAAAAGATCCTCCCTGTCTTGGAATGTGTGTCAGGCAGAATGACCTCAATGAAGAAAAAGCGTATGTGATTGTGTCATTACAGGTTGGAGGAATGATTTAAAGCAAACTAGGAAGTCTTATTTTCGGGAATTCTTAATCAATGATTCTGAGTTCAACTATCACCTCTACAACACTAATAAAACATGTTTTTTAATAAAATGTTTTCTATTTAATACCTACTATCAGTTGCTAGAATCTGAAAAACAAAACATGACAATGACAAGCTGCGGGATGTTTATCATACCTCAGCTCCACCCATCCATTTTGGTTCATCAGGAAATTCAGCACATAGGATGTCTTCTGACTGGTTAGTTCCCAATACATGATAATACAACTTTTGGTGCAGATTAGTGGAGGTCTCAGTGCCTAGTGAAATGCAGATATTTAAACCAATTAGTTCTCATAGAAATCCAACAACAACCATATGAAACCCTTAGAAAGGTCTGTACCCCTTTGCATATGAAAGAGAAATTCAGCAGAGAGAACTAGGAATGGTACCAAACTACAAACACTCCCCTCCAAACAAAAACCCTCCTCCAAAACAAAATAAAACTTCACATGCAAACCTCTTCAAACAAACCTCAACCCTTTTCTTTTATTGCTGATAATATGTTCTTCACATTTAAGATTAAGCATTTCAAGCATTGGTTTCTAGAAATACAAGCAAGCTAAGCAAAGAAAAACAATCCCTCTAATGATGTTTTCACTCCCATTTTACCCTGAGCAACTAAGGGGAGATTTACTGCTAATAAACATTCCTAAAAAACATCATATTTCCATTTGCTGAAAATATAAAAGTGATGTATTTTAAAGCACTGCAGGAGTTACTGCTTTTTTTTAAAATTTTGTTCTTGCAATGTTTTCCAACACTCCAGCTTCTGAACTACAAATATGAGGTAAAAAAACCCCAACAAAAAACAGGTGGGTATCTATCCAGCAAGTCTGGCAAAATGATAGGCTTCAAAAGCAAATACAGAGCTAAAATTCAGGTTCTCTCCAATTGAACATAGAGCACAGCTCCAGAAAACTTTCCAGTAGTTCTGCCTTATAATAAGAGTTGTTAAATTCCTTCCCTGCTGATTCTTCTCAGCAATTTATTCCTCTTTGTGTGCTGGTCCTTGAATTTTGCTAGCATAAACATTTTGTGTTGCTGTACTGCGAACCACAGATGAATTAATCTGGTTGAATAACAAAAACTTTATGCCACAGATTGCTCTTCATCAGGTCAGCATCCCAAACCAGGCCATCTATGCCCACATAGGGGGAAAGATCTAAGTAAGCTGTCACAAGGCATCAAATTCTACCCAACAGCACCCTGTAGGAAAGCTAAGTAAATCATTCCACACAAAAAGAAAAGGAACACCAAACTTTTAAAAGAAAAACCAGGGCAGATGAGAAGATACTCACAGTAACTGAGCACAGGTTTTGGCCATACAAGGTATAATTTGATCTCTAACTGTATAAACTAGTACAGCTAATTATTTCAGTATAAACTGAAACATTTGTTGCACCAATGTACTGTAAAGGTAATTTTGCTTCCATATAGCATGCAATTAGCACACTCATACTTACCATCACTTTTCCCATCTTGTTTTGGGTAGCAGTTATAGAATATGCCTTTTCCATCATGAGTCCATACCATGCAACTGAATTTAACTCTCTCCAGTGTATCCGGAAGATCCTCAGGACCTTCCACTTTCATAAACTTGATAGTAACCCAATCAGAGCCACTCGAACTCAGGCCATATGCAAAGTATTCACCGTCTTCACTGAATGCATAACCTAGGAGATTGGAAAGAAACAAGATGAAGCGAAAATCAGCACAAGAAAACACTATTCTAATAAAAGTGCTTGTTATTTTGCCACACATCTTTTTATCATCTACTACGTACTAGCCAAATCCCAATGGAAGACAGATGAAACTGGGATATTAGTTAAAAGAACTGTGTTCACCAAACATTGAGAGAAGGTGGTTTGTTTTCTAAAAGACAGTGCAAGCAATTACATCTGCTATGAGTTGGGATTCACAGCATTTTTCTCAATTAGTTCACAGATTCAAGCTTAGGCAAGGATATTCAGTAAGTATTCACATAACTTATGCTCAAAATCTGAATTATGATTTGAGTCATATTTCTCCTGCTTTCCTGAGTCTGGGGAAAACAGTTGGAAAATGAAAATGGACACAGGTAGAGAACTTTAAAGTGGTATTTTCAGAGAGAAGCAATACCAAAAAAGCCCACAGAAACTGAATGCAAGCAATGTATCCTCAAATTATGTAAATACCACTTTAAAAATGGAGTCACTGAAAACTAGACGCTGCAAACCCACAAAAACTGAAGTAACTGGAAAACTTTGCCACTGGCATGTAAATGTATTAATTGTCAGTATTCTCAGATAAGACCTCTGATACATCCTCACTTTATCCAAACTGTGAGGAAAGCACTATTCTGAAAAAAAATCAGAAGAGCTTCCGTCATAGTTAATAAGGATGGAATTCACTATTGCAAACCAATTCAAGTGAAGCGACTGAATTACCATAGGCCTGTACGGACCTGAAAGTATTCACCAAAAAATGACCCAAAAAAAGTCGTATTTCATAGACATCATAGGTTTGAGTACTGTGCACTCACTATTCTCCCTATAAGAACATAAGAGTGACGTGATGCCTACAAGAATAAGAACAATCTTATAATCATAAAATGGTTTGGGTTGGAAGGGACCTTAATGATAATCTAGTTCCTAGCCCCAAGCTGTCGACAGGGGCAATTTACACTAGAAGAAGGTTGCTCAAAGCCCTAAAGATTTTGGTCTTGAACACTCCCAGGGATGGGGCATCCACAACTTTTCTGGGCAATGCCTCACCACCCTCACAGGAAAGAATTTCTTTCTAATATCCAATCTAAACCTACTCTCAGTTTTAAAGTCACTTTCTTCTGTTTGCTTTGGACTCAAGTCCCACTGCCTTTGTTTGATATTCCCTCATTCTTATAACAGAAAAACCAACTAATCAACCCCTATTTCTTCTGTCCATGCTCCATGCCACAAATTATTCTGTGGACCTCTATTATATCCTCGCTAAATTGTCCCTTTTCCAAGCTGATTGATCCAAGCACACTCAGTTTTTTCTGACCTTTGCTCCATACCCTTGATCGTTCCTACTGCTCTCCTCCAAACTGTATTTCAGAGCCCATGTTGAGCTGAGGGGACTGGAACCATATTTAGTATTCCATGCTATTGTATAAACTCCTGGGTTGCTAATGAGATGATGTCTTCTGTTTTGTACTCTATTTAATTGAATCATAGAATCACTAAGGTTAGAAAACACTTCCAAGATCACCAAGTTCAACCAAACACCACCTCGTCAACTGAACCATAGCACTAAGTGCCACATCCGGTCATTCCTTGAACACTTCCAGGGATTAATTTCTCCATGATAAATAAATTGGTATTTGATGTGCTTCTACTGAGAACCAGGCTGACATTTCCATGCAACTATGTATTACAGTCTAAGCATTGGCGGTCATGTGGTCATGGCAGCTTGAAAGTTCATTCTATCCATTCCTTTAAAAATGAGATTAGGATTGTTTGCGCCCTGTGCATCACTTAATTATTTCCACACAGACCTTTACCAGACAATTTAATGACCACTCACTATTATTAAAGTTTTCCTGCAGCTCTTCAGCCATTCCTCAGCCTTTACCTGAAATAACTTTGTATTGTCATCAAACTCTGCAACCTCAAGGCTCACTCCTTTTTCTAATATGTACTGAACACTGCAAATCCTACAATAGTCCCTAACGGAACTTTACTGGTGATTTCCACTTTGACAGCCCATCAGTAATTCCTTTCCCTACCCTTAAATCAATTATTTACCCAGAACATGAGTTTTCCCTCTGGTTACACAGTTGTTGGTTTTCTAAATGCATTTGGAAGAAGACTTTGTCATAAGACTTTTAGAAACATATGAACCCAATTCCTTATATCTATAGCTCAAGTCAGGACTTCTCACTAAAAAAAACCATATTGATTGTTTTCAACTAGGTCACACTCAGAAACACATATCTGTCCTCTGCTTTTATTAAATGGCCTTGAATAGACTTAAAGGACTTCTAGATCCAAGAATCCTGCTTTTACATTAAGCCACTAGGAAGTGGGAAAAGGGAAAGCTAACAGAAGTTACAGCCTTTGTGAAAACAAGAAATTTTGTGATGCTCATAAAACTTAATGCTATGTTCCTTCATAGCCTTTTACTTTTTTAACTTTCTGTCTTGTGTTAAAGATGCAAAATAAAATTTTAAGAGAACTTTTCAATATAAATACATAAACTTTTTGTCCTCGCTATGGAAAGCCTCAAGACCTGTTCATATTTCAGTGGAAAACTGCTACAGAGTTGCGGAAAAAAGCATCAAGAACCTGCACTGAACTAATCCAACTGTGGATACAGTGTAGATTTAGAGGTGTTCTTCTGAAACACTATATAAATCCCCATATGGTTACTGTGATAACTTTGATCAAATTTCCAACTTCTGCTGAAGACTGAGAACCGCGGTCTCACTAACCTCGTAAAGCCACTGTGCCATCATCAGAAAGCTTATTTGGATCAAGAAAAACTTTGGCATCAGCATCCAAGGAGTCCTGTACATACAAAACTCGCTGGTTCTGCAGTCCTGTATTGTAGAAGTGAAAATACCTAAGAGAACACGAGAGGGAAAAATAAGTAGGAACACTCTTGATTTTCAGTTAGGCAAGCACAACAAAACTTGTATGAGATTGTCATGAAGCTAATAAAGGACAGATAAATATATAAGGGAAACACAAGCTTCACAGTAGAGTAGGAATCATGGTTAGACATCATAGGATGCATCCAAACCATCTTTTAAAAAAAAGAGCTGCATTTGCCACGGTGCATTTCAAAGAACCCCTAGTATACTATAAATTCTGCATAACTGTCTATGTTAAACATCTCTGGCAGTCACAGCATTTCCCTGTTACAAGAACTGGCACGGGTTCCCATCCCTTATGTTCTCAACTTTGTCATTTATATAGCTGCTTTCAATCCATACTGGGTGGTAGACTTATGTTCAGATGAAACAGAACCAAAACTACTTCATCTATATTTACCAATGTCCCTAAAACTGTGTTTGAAAGAGTTGTAAGAACTACGGAATTGTCTTTAGCCAGTGATACTCTTCACATCACAAAACACTACAGAGCTCAAAGAAATCAATACCCATATTCTACACAAGACAGAGGTAGTACACTTTTCTTCCTTCTCAGAACTTTACTACACAAATATGTGACTTAACAAACCAAATAGCAGCCTCACCTGGGGGAACAGGGGAATTTATGGGGCAATGTTCAATTATAAAAATAAGTTCTTCTATCCCCTAAGACCAACCAGTACTTGGATACAAGTATGGGAACCTGGTAAAGCCAGAAGGGGAAACTCTATTCACAAAGGCTGGCTAACAATCTGAGCTAGTAATATGCTCAAGTGCAAAACTGAAAGATTCAAAAAAATAGAAGGAAAAGTAATTTTCCATTTGATCAGATATTTTCTCATCTATTTCACTTCTGCAATGCTGGGCAACAATACAGGAAGCAAGCCTCAAACAATGTGACAGGCACAGCACCTTCCTGGGTACTCGTTCTGTCCACAGATTCTGCAGAACTCTTCAGACACTTTGTTTTATCAGCTGTTCTTCAGCACAAAAAACAGAGTAATTAAATTTAAGAATTATTAAGTGTCATGGGAAGTTTGGATAGTTCTTCAAACAGAATAGTTCCTTCCCTCACCCGTTACTTAGTGTTACTTAACACCATAACATGGGGGGGTAGGGTATTTATTATTTTTAAATTGCTGTGACTTAACTTCAGCACATGCCAGGAAATAGAGTATCACTCAGAAAGACTAAAAAGACATCTATTACAATCAGACTAAAGTGTCATAAGTCATAAGCACATTAATCTCCTGGTATAAATGTTCTTCCTGGAAGACAGTCAGCTGCATCAAATTAAGACTTTGTATCTTGTAGGGGAGACTACTGCCATGAGCACTTCTGCAACATCAAGCCTTAACAGCATTGAAGGTAACCACATCCAGGCATGTTTGCATTGCAGAGAATCCAAGTCACTGACCAGGCCTGCTCTAGAATCTGTTTCAGCATAGCTACATCTGCATGAGCATCACATACAATACAATAAGCTTTGCCTGACTCTCAATAAGGCATACGTCCCTGGACGCAGCATTATCCTAAACATCTCCACTGATTCTGGGCTTAAACCTGACACCTCTCTATACACTGACATGCTGAGCCACATCTGTGACAACTGAAATCAACATCAGCTTAGATTCACTGCCCACATTATCCTTTCATAAAACCCTATATAGTACCAAATTTCCCTCCCTCTATCTATATCTACACCTTCCTCACAGCACAGACAACTAAAGCAAATTTCCCTCAATATCTGTGCAGAAATCTTAAGCTAATGAGACCTCTCATGATCCATTGATGATGGTGAAAACATAGGTGGCATACCACTCAACCAAGATCAAACAAATCAAAAATATTGAAAAACCTAGTTTGTGTTTCCCATGATCAAGAATGGCTGCTTTGTTCCCCCTCTACCTCATTTTCAATTGCTAAAACAATCTTTAGATGTTACTAAGTTAACAATTAGTTTCATCCGTTTACTCCCTTTCTCTAGAAGCTTGATACTGTTTCTATTAGAAGTCACACAGAATTCAGTAGCAGCTGCAGTAAGTAAGTAAGCCACCGAAGCACCATCTCTCCACAGAATTAAAACAGTGATACAAGTAGACTAAGCACTGGTGTATAGCAGGATCTGTTTGTTTCTTAAAAAACAGATCTTTTTGCATCAGTACTCTTAAATCCTCCAAATTATTTTTCCCTTATCACCATGCAAATAAAGAAGCAGTCTTTCACAAGGGAATTCCCACTGCTTTTCACTGGCAATGACTAAACAATAAAAGCTTACCAGCTCCTAAAAGAATAATTAATATAAGAGCAGTATTTTAGCAGATATTTGGAACAATATGCATATGACAGACTTATGCTGTTTTCAGGATGACTAAGCCTGAAAGGAACTCCTCAAAGCTTTACTTTTACTACAATTATTCTGCAAAGTTGTCTGAATTCTGATAAATTCACAATTCTTCCTAAAGAAAAGACAACAAAAGAACGAGTGATAATATGATTGGGAACTGGAGACAGTCAAGTATCTTGTGCTCGGCATCACGCAACCACATGTTAACACTGCCTTAGTTTTCCTATGTCTGAACTATAAAAGAATAAATACAATTTATAATTTGTTTTCCTAATTAGTAGTTGCTTCTGACTTGCTTCACGTTCATCACAAAGACATTCCTCACATACCTTTTTCCTCTCTTGAAGTGGCAACCGTACTTAGGATAATCGTAGAGTTCAGTCATTCGTTCTTTGAACAATCCTCTGACAGGACACTTTTCGAGAAAGGGTACTGTAAGCTTGTTCTGAGCATCCACAAATGCCTGAAGGAAAACAATTCCCCCCCCCCCCAAAAAAAGTGTGAACTCAAGTAGAAATGCACATTTTCTACAGGGAACATTTTCAGAAGCAATGCATCACAGACATCTTTCTGCCCATATAGGTTGTGCAGTGCCACACCTGAAGAATCTTACATGCTTATTCGCATTATACCACAATTCTGTAATAAGACTGAACTCATATCTTGAATAATATCTCTCCAGGGCATGGACTGGGGTAACCAGCCAAAAGACAAGACATTCCTGCCATTCCCCTTAAAAGCAAAAAACCCCAAACCCCAACAACCAAAGAAACCGTAAACAAATAAAAACAATCAAACAAAACAAAACCAAACAAAAACCACAAAGCAAACAAAAAATCCAAAAACACAATCCAAAAAACACCCCATGCTTTTAAGAACTCTCTTTATATTTGCCTAAGTAGTAAATATTGCCCACAGACTGCACTATCATTTCAGGAGCTGGGAAGATGATATAAAATGTCACATGCATCATCTGTTCGTATTATTAACATAACGCACAGAATTAGTCCCAGCCAGTACTTCCTGAGAAGACCAAAGTGCTGTCCACAGATCAATTCTTAGTTACAAAAGGCAAAAATATGCAATGTCTGAAAACTTTGCGAAGTCTGGTTTCTTTAAAACACTCCAGCTCCCTGTCACAAACACTTAAGGCCAGTGGTCAAAATCATTACCACTCCAGCTGTTTGTTAGAGGTTGACACTCCCACAGTATGCATGGAAAACACTGGTGTTTCACCATCTTTATTTATAGCATGGTACATTAACATCAAATGAATACCTAAGCGTCTTAAGGTGAATCACAGCTACTAACAAGCAGACATGCAGGCCTTGCTGTCTCTAACATGAAGTAGGCAGGACAGGACACTGTGCGTGGCTAGGACGCAGCCAAATGTCACAGCAACAGCATCAGTATCGCTCTTGGACTCCAGCCTCTTGCCTAGAGCATTAAACCCTGTCCGTTCATCTCTTGCACACACAGGTCTCTTTCTCAGTTGCTCTGAAAGAGGCTATTGTTTCTACCTGTCCCGAATCTGTCACACATCAATCAGATCAACGCATTGTAACATCTGAGTTACAGGGCAGGAAACACAGGACAGCAGGGCTACAAATGTGTTTCACAGCTCTTCAGAAAAGCCAGCTGCTGTCAGAGAGTACCTGGTACACATATACCAACTGCTATCAATGTTTAGTCATTTATTAATTCTTCCGGTGAAGAATTAATATGTGCACAGCACATCCCAGTGGTAAGTCAAAACAGCACGCAGCCTCCACATTGTGCTGCTATAACTGTTCTCCCCATCAGATGATGAAAGAATTTAATCAAATCTACCCAAGAATTATGTGTCTCTGAATTTGTTTTCTCTAAACGGGAACACGTGAATATCAAGGACTACCTACACAAAAAATCTAGACAGTGGATCCTACACAAATAAACTAACTTCTACAAGTGCTGTGACATTTCCAGAGAAAAGATGGCTTATAAAAACATGTATAAAACCGTCCATTGCACTGGATGGGCAAAAGCACTTTTTAGTTGCATTCAGTGGACAGAAACCGTCACACATTTTTTTTTATCTATCAATAACACAACTGAAATTATAACACCACTGCAAGGGTATACTGGAACTGTGCATTACTCATCTAACTGTAGACACACCTTACCACATCTGCTTTCATTACTGGTGTTCAAGGAGGAGACACAAACTTCTCCTTACAAGTCTTCATTGCACAACAGCATGGTTACGTACTGATTACTGCACTCACAACTGAATCCCACATAATTTTGCTTTTACAGGAACTTGACGTATTTTTCTCATTTCCACTTAATATGCACCAAAGATTCCAAGATTATATGAAAAAGGGAATGCCACTGCTGTCTGAAACAGGAGGACAGAATTACAGGTTCCACTGAGAGTTCCACTGAGAAGAATCGTTTCCAGTTTGGCAACTTTCTGTTCTTACACCTCTGAGCATGAGGTTGCACTCATGTTCAAAAAGCAATACCTAACTGAAATATTGCTCTAGGTGAAGTACAGGAACATTTGTCACCAGAAACTCTTGCAGTAAACAACTCCATCCACTATGGTGAGCTAAACATGCTACAGGGCTAACAGTAACTGCACATCCTCATGAACCTAAAGAGGAAGATTTTTATTATACCTGTAGATATCTGCATCTGACTATCTGTCATATGCTTTGAAACAGGATATAATTTGCGAGCAGAAGGAAGGACAGAGTAAGGGTCCAAGTAAGGCAAATCCTTATGGGATAATAACGTAATTTGAAAAGCAAAACAATTTCTGAAGCATTGTACTAAGAATAGAGATGGTCTACTTGAGGCTGAAGTGTTTGGCCATTACTTGCGCAGGCCAATTGTTATTAAAAAAAAAAAAAAAAAGTATAATTAAATTTCATCTAAGAAACATATGGCACAAGCTTTTTTTGACCATGCCTTTTTAAAACATATCAGCTTTCTACATTACACTATGCTAGTCTCTCAAGATAATGATTTCCACTCATAGCATACTTTCCAAAGAGAAGTCTCAAAATACAAACTCTTTCTACATCACCATTTTTGTTATTTGTCTGCAAAGTATTTACAGTTCATTTACACATTCTCAGTAAAAGGTAGTTCAGTGCAACTCCTACAAGAGGGTACATACCTTTGTTAAATATTAAAAATTAAAACTAATCAGACTTCTTGTGGTTGGCCTCTTAGAATTTACTTTTTTGGTATTTAACAAAGAAAAATTAAGTGCAACTGGAAATGTATCAAAATGTGAACTAAACACTGGTCTATAATAACTAAAAATCCATTTAATTGTGTTTTTGAGAGTTTCGATTCTAGTCATAATCCAAACATACATGTGTTCATAATAGTATAACCTGACCCTACATGATCCCTGCTTTCTCATCCCTTATCCATCCCTTATCTCTGGAACTACCTAAGCATTGCTGCCTACACCACCAGTGAGTTAGAGTGCTATACATGACTGACAGTAGCAAAAGACTGTGCTGTAGTCTAAAAAAGAGCTTATTTCCCACAAAGTGTTAAAACAAACTAAGAGGTTGAAAAGTCCAGCCAAGCCAAACCCAAAATAACAGTGAAAGTGTGGTTTTGTAGTTGTGGCCTATGTCATTACCAGAAGCTTTCTACCAGCGTAGCAGATTTTAACTGCGCCAGAGATGGTTCCTCAGTCTGTCTTAAAAGTCAGTGGCCAAACAGAAGCAGAGCATGAACCCACATTCTACACCTCATTTCTCCAAAGCGTGATAGGAACTTCCCCATCTGTCCAGGGCTTAATTTTCACTTGTGAATCTGGGAAAGGGAGTTTTGTTTGCTTATAGCTGCCCTTGGTTGCTCCAATCAAGCACACACAAGGGAAAAAAAGCGATATAGTAAAGAATGTAGATTGTTAATATGGAAGTCCATACCTATGAATAACAGTTTTTCCACCAAAGACTGAGGATGTGACTTGATGATTGGCTTAATCAACTCCTAAGACTGCACATTTGACAAGAAACAGTCCTGCTTCCCCACCAGCAGATTTCAATAACCTCCTTTCTGCAGCGGATAAATGCACCACATACAGAATAACATCCTCCTGGTAACCTGGTTGAAAAATTTCTACATCTATTTGACTTTCACCTAATTAAAAGGGTGGCTAGAAGAGGAAAGATCCCATTCTTGAACCATCTTAGATCCAACTACCATGTGGCCTTGGGATGACCTTTATGAACCATGTATATCAATAGAAAACGAGTCCACTAAAGTCTTCCCTCCCAAAACATCACCTTGTGATGGCTGTACCCATGCAAGGGAGGAACAGAAGCATTCATGTCAGCACAAGATAGAGAGGGAGGGCAACTACACAGCTACTTGGCTTAATGGAAACCTTCAAACTACAATGGATCAGCAGAGTCTGCACTCTCACCACAAAAATACCTGATTAAGGCAATTACAAAAAAATTCTACCCTTCTATGTTCACTTGTTTGTAAACTGCTAACTATCAAGGTCCACAAGATCATTTGGACTAACTGAAGCAATTAGAACTCATAACTGTTCTAATTTCCTTCAGTCTTAGCTACAGTGGACATCAGGTGAAACCACCATGAACATTTCAGAATTAAAAACAATCTCACCTGTTTATGCTTCTTTCCCCATGCTTCAGGGAACAGTAAAGTTTATGTTTCACTGACTCAACACAGACACTAAGTGAATCCTACTCATTTATTTTCTGCCAGCACACCAATGGTTGACACACCTATTTCTGCTACATGTAGAAAAGTAGAATTCCAATATATTTTTGTATCTATTTGACAGCATGCATCTAAATAATTTTGACTGTTCACATACGAGAAAAGATCGTTAACTTAATAAAAGAATGGTGTTCATTCTTCCCTCTTGGCATAAATCAAGTTACACCTACTCAAATCAAGCAAGCATGTTGTGAACAGGAACTGAATAGAGGTTCTTTCACTACAGATGAGCATAAGTGTCCAAGGAATTCTTCTAGTTCAGCACTTAAGCACAAAATTAAAAGTAGCCTAATGTTGGAGGTGTACACATGGTATTTTTGCTTTTCCAAAAAACAAATGCAGATTTGGGATGTAAAGGAACTATATACGGAGGAAAAGAGTGACTTGGAGGAAGAATGAGAAGGACAAATCACAGAATCAGCCAGGTTGGAAAGGACCTCTGAGATCATCAAGTCCAACCCTTGATCCACTACCTCCACAGTTACTAGACTATGGCACTAAGTGCCACATCCAGTCTCTCCTTAAATACCTCCAGGGACAGAGAATCCACCACTTCCCTGGGCAGCCCATTCCAATGCCTGATTACTCTCTCTGTAAAGAATTTCTTCCTATCATTTAACCTAAACCTCCCCTGGCAGAGCTGAGACCATGCCCTCTTGTCGTACTGATAGCTGCCTGGGAAGAGACCATCCCCACCTGGCTACAACCTCCTGTCAGGGAGTTGTAGAGAGTGATGAGGTCTCCCCTGAGCCTCCTCTTCTCCAGACTAAACAACCGCAGATCCCTCAGCCTCTCCTCAAAGGACTTGTAGTCAAGTCCCTTCACCAGCCTTGTTGTTCTTCTCTGGACCCGCTCCAGCACCTCAATATCCTTCCTGAACTGAGGGGCTCAGAGTTGGACACAATACTCAAGGTGTGGCCTCACCACCGCTGAGTAGAGGGGAAGAATCATTTCCCTGCTCCTGCTGGCCATACCATTCCTGAAATAGGCCAGGATACCATTGGCCTTCTTGGTCACCTGGGCACACTGCTGGCTCGTGTCCAGCTTCCTGTCCATCCAAACTCCCAGGTCCCTTTCTGCCTGGCTGCTCTCCAGCCACTCTGTGCCCAGCCTGTAGCGCTGCAGGGGGTTGTTGTGGCCAAAATGCAGGACCTGGCACTTGGCCTTGTTGAATCTCATCCCATTGGAATCAGCCCAACTCTCCAGCCTATCCAGGTCCCTCTGAAGAGTCCTCCTGCCTTCCAGCAGATCAACACTCCCCCCCAACTTGGTGTCATCCACAAATTTACTAATGGTGGACTCAATCCCCTCATCTAAATCATCAATAAAGATGTTAAACAGGACTGGGCCCAGCACTGATCCCTGGGGAACACCACTGGTGACCGGCCGCCAACTGGATGCAGCCCCGTTCACCAGCACTCTCTGGGCCCGGCCCTCCAGCCAGTTCCTAACCTAGCACAGAATGTCCCATCCAAGCTGTTGGCCGCCAGCTTTTTCTGGATTATGCCGTGGGAGACGGTGTCAAAGGCTTTGCTAAAGTCCAGATAGACACATCCACAGCCTTCCCCTCATCCACCAGGTGGGTCACCTGATCATGAAAGGAGATCAGGAGGACCTGCCCCTCCTAAACCCGTGCTGGCTGGGTCTCATCCCTTGTCTATCCTGTAGGTGCCGTGTGATTGCACTTCAGGTGATCTGCTCCATAACCTTGCCATGCACTGAGGTCAGGCCTGTAGTTTCTTGGGTCCTCCTTCCGGCCCTTTTTGTGGATTGGCGTGACATTCGCCAACTTCCAATCATCTGGGACCTCCCCAGAGAGGTCTCAAGGTCAGTGACATGAAGGTCTGAAAAGCCTAGAAAGCACGCTCCATACTCTTTCTGAAGCCCATACAGTCGTCCAACTGTTTCTATGGCAGTTATCTGGTTATTTTTTGATCTGGTAGGTGCAGAATGGCTATTCAGCAGGAGTCCTGCAAACTATCCCAAGAACTTGGAGATAAAACTACTAAAAGCTAGCAAGAAAGAGTGGTCATCAGCAACCTCTGCTGCAGAGCACAAAGAAATGAGTCATAAAGTAGATCCAAAGAGTTTAGCACTTCAAGACCATTTCTTTCTGTCTTCTTCTAAGAAAGAAGTAAAACAGCAAAATACTTTTACTTCCTTTTGTTCCATAACTTCTGAAACTTTGGAATGATATCCTTGCATATTTACACACACAGGAACTCTCTCCACTCTGTGTCAGACTACTGCTGCACTGCCAAATTCTGCCAAGGCGTGCGTTTTTTAGTGTAGGCAAGTAAGATAAAACAAGATCTTCATTCCACCAATATGATATCTTGTGTTTGGGTTGCTGCACTGTTGTGAGTGTGTTCTAATCCCTCATTCCTTATTTTGTCTCCTATATAAACTACAGCCTCTGGAGAATGTGGTTCACCGTCCTCCAACTGTTCTCACCCAATGTGTTACACAGTATGTGGCTCCAGTATTGAACACAGGGACACTAAAAGTCAGGTCCTGGCATTTTCTCAATCACAATCCTTTCACAGGATCCCAGAAAACACTTCAATAGGTATCTGCAAGGCACCTATAAAAAAAAGATGTAACCATACCCTCCACACATATATTCCCTTCAATTTGGCACAAGACTATCCCACGTCTACTGTTTCTTAAAGATACTAGAATTACAAAATCAAAATTCCCCCAATTTTCTAAATATATAATTTTCAATGTTAGCGTCCATGGCAGAGTTTTTCACTAAAACCTGATCCCAAACCAAGCTTTCTAATCCTCATGACTCTTCAAATACGCTGACAGATTTATAAGTAGGGAATGAGTTCCTAACTGTACACATTTTATCTTTTTCTTGACAGTTACAATAAGTTCAATTTGACCAACCTCAGGCTCATCACAAAACATCACAAAGATGTATTAAGTAAGCATATACACGAGAGAACCTAGAAGAAATCTCACCAATGGAAAGCTACACTATGGGATATTTTTGAAAGGAGATCCTGACCTCCACCATCTTCCTGACAAAATCATGCATACTGGATAGACACTAGTGTTTTAGATCTGGAACTACAATTATCACAAAGTTACTAGCCATTATAAGGGAAAACTCCTCCACATGGTCACTTCCTACTTTCAGGCCATCACCCCTGTAAGTCTCTATGCCATTATTATCAGAGGAACTGGCTCATAGTCATTCTTATCACTTTTCAGGATTTTCTCTAAGTGAAAACCAATTCCAACAGTACATTCTAACTATACTAGACGGTAGGCTGAAAACTCCACAACATCTGCAATCTGTAATAGCAGCCACTAAGCAAGCCTAACTTCAGGAGGAAAATGGTTTTGATTTTATTTTGCTTTTAAAAAGGATTAAACAAAAAAATGTACTCACACTTGGTCACTGTATAAAAGGCAAGCCAAAGAAGTTTACTTTCTACCCTTTCCTAATTACTTTATTACGGCAATTTTGGACTGTGTAAAAGGTAAGCCAAAGAAGTTTACTCTCTACCCTTTCCTAATTATTTCATTATGGTAATTTTAGATGTACTTAGGACAGTGGATAAAGTGCTCTGAAATCTGAGTGCCAGTGTGACAACACCACCTTGAGCATTGAAATTGTCCAAGAAAAATGAGTGCAAGATAACCAAGGCCTTAATTTTGCCAATTCTGTGATGTAGGTTATACAAAATATTCCAGTCTTTCACAGAATCACAGAATGGTTTGGGTTAGAAGGAACCTTAAAAATCATCCAAGCCCCCTGCCAGGGGCAGAGACACTTTGCAGTAGTCCAGGTTGCTCCAAGCCCCATCCAGCCATTTCCCCCTAAAACTCAGGGACAAAATAACAGCCTTGCTCTTGGCACTATGAGCTATCACAAGAACTACACTTCCATTCACTATGATTCACTGTGTAACTTTCCAAAAAAGTACTGGCACATTCTTCAAAATAGAGTACCTATGCACCTAGTCTATACGGGAGAATCATGTGAAAAAAGTTATTCCCCTAAAAAGAAAGGTTACCTTTGTCTGTTCACTATCGGGATCTTCAAGCCAGCAGTACGGGTCGCTTATTTTATATCCATGGTAATCCTGCACCTGAATTCATAAAAGACAATCATTTTAAAAGAGGCATACACGCAAGCAAATTCTATCCATCAAGGAACGATAGTCATCACGATGAAGGGTATTCGGAATTTCACAAAAGCATACAGTGCTGAGGAGCAAAGCAAGAGAAAAGCAACACATTGCTACCAAGTGAGTTGCTAATATAACCATTTTTTGGTGATAGTACTAGAGCAGCAGAGTAGCCTTCAGAAAAAACACGGAGCACCAGAAAAAGGGTGAAATGAACATACACCCCACTAAACCAATACTCCTAAAAAAATCAAACAACCTAAAGCTTCCTCCATATCCAGGTTTTTGAACCAAATTATCAAACCTGATTACTGGACGGACCCCAAATGTGGTTCTTGGTTACATGAACTGTCTCTAATTTAGCCCTCCCTACTACTGTTGCCCACAAACATGTGCATAATGTACATGTATAAATAATAACTAAAAAACCTCCAACCAAAAACCGACCCCCAAAACAACAAGCAAGCAAAAAAAAACCCCACAAAAGACTAATCCACGTGGCTGAATTTACCTGCTTCCTTCCTTCAGTATACAAAACAGGACTAGATACCTGTTGTTAGGACTTGCACAGTTCAGCCTTTTAGCCACCTATGAAACTAAATTCTTTAGCTTTTCCAGCTTTGGCTCATGTCGGCAAACATTTTGGTTTAAACGCGATGTTAGTTCCGTAAAGAATTACCGGGCCGGTGCCCAAAGCACAGAGCTTTGCGGAAGCGAAAAAAACCCGGACCCATTGTACCCAAACTAACACCGTAATCCTTGTGTATCCAGTTACGGTCGGACCACAGGGAGATAGGACTATGTCACAGATGTGCCTTCCTACATAAATAGACCATTTGTTCCTCTGCTGACGCTGCTCCAGCCTCGGCGGAGGCCTGGGCTCTCCCTGCCACACGCGGCGGTGCCGAAGCCCCGAAATCCGCCGTGGGCTCGGCTGCCCCTGCGGCCCCGGCCGGCCCCGCACACGCGAGACGTGCCCGGGGGAACCGGCGCCAGGCCCCGAGTCCCGCCCCAACCAGCCCCCGGCAGCCGCCACGGCCCGCCGGTTTGACAAGCCCGACACCCTCCGCACGGAGCACGCCGGAGCCGAACAAAGCCCCGAGAGCCGGGGCGGCAGCACCCCCACCCAGGCGGCCCCGCCAGCCGGGAGCGCCGCGCCCGGGCCCGGCGGGCGCCGCACGGCGGGGGCTGCCCCGGCCAGTGCCGTACTCACGGCGGTCTCGTCGCGGTACACCTCGGGGTACTGGAAGGCCTGCATGGCGGGCGGCGGCGGCGAGCGGCGAGAAGAAGAGGATGATGATGAGGAGGAGAGGGAGCAGGAGGCGGAGGAGGAGAAGGAGGAGGCGAAGGGGCGCGGAGGCGGCGGCGGGGCCGGGGCTGGGGCCGGGGCTGGGGCCGGGTGTCGGGCCGTGGCGGCAGGAGCCGGCAGCAGGCGCGCAGCGCGGCACAGGCGGAGCGCCGCCGCCATACGGTGCGCCCTCTGCCGGCCGAGTGCCGCGCCACAGGTACAGGAGGGGTCTGGCCGAGGGGCCGTCCCGCCCTCACTGCCAACCATGGGCGCGGCTGGCACTCCCGCTCACCGCGTTCTGTTGGGAAAGACCTCTGGGATCATCGAGTCTAACTTATGACCGAGCACCACCATCTCAGCTGGACCATTGCACTAAGTGCCACATCCAGTCTTTTCTTATTAAACACCGCCAGGGACAGCGACTCCACCACCAACTGGTGCAGACCGTTCCAATGTCTAATTACCCTTTCTGTGAAGATATTCTTCCTAATGTCCAATCTAAACCTCTCCTGGCACAGTTTAAGACTATTTTCTCTTGTTCTATCACTGGTAGAAGAGCCCGACTGTCACCTGGTTACAAATTCCTTTCCTACAACTACCAATTGTAGAGAGTGGTAAGGTCACCCCTGAGCCTCCTCCAGGATAAACCTGGCTTGGTCCACCCAAACTTTTAGCATGTTTCCATCCAATATAGCTTCTACAAGCTGCTAGAGACTCTCTTTCACCCTAAAAGCAAAGGACAAGTTGGCCACCTGGTCCCAGTGACAATGGCCACTCCAAGTGCGCAGCCCGGCTGGCTGGTGCTCACCCCTCTCACCCACGCTGTCAGGGGCTGCACTCCGGCACCACTGCAGGCTCTGGCCTGCGCAGTAGGTCTGGATGAATGTTCACCCAGTAAAGGCATTCCAAGTGGGTGACCTCAGACTCATCCGCAGGGTGGTTATTTTACAATAGGGTTTCCTGGGTCAGAAAACTTGCAAGCATTTTACATCCAGTGCACTCCTCCCGTACACCGGAAACATGCAGGGGGCAGATGATGGTTTGGCCAGTAACATTTCTGAACTGCTTTTCTTCCAAACGAAGTTGCTGCCAGCAGCCCTTGCCATGCTGTCCTGTCAACCTGGGGAGGACTTCACGCCGGTTTTTCATCCAGGATAAACTGGTGTGTACATGTGGTGCATGGCACCAGCTGGAGACATTGAGGTTTGTGTGTGGTGGTGTTCAAAGTCCGATCAGCCCAAAGAACGCTCATGGTTGCAAATAAAATAACTGCCTGAAATGACAATGACCTAAAGCATTTCAGAAATGGCATAAAACCTTTATAGTTACCAGCTCAGAACTGTGCCTTGATTGCCTACTCTTACCGAAAAGTTACTTCTCTAATTGGGCATCCTGTGGGGAGGCTGAGGGTTGTGTAAATATGAGGAAATATGCCAGGAAATAATGATCACTTTTACTAAGTGACATAACTGGGTTCATCAGCTCCCTTTACACCCTAAACAACACCTTCATGGCTTCTTGTTTCTCATCCCTTCAGTTTTGGCCATTTCTCCTTCTGAACTTTATCATCTTCTCCCTTTGCAAGGGAGCAAGACAGCTGCCGACTACACCTTTTGTTCCAGAGCTCAAGAACATGCCACCACCAAGGTGATTACTGGCAATGCCTTGATGCACCCAATGCTGATAAAGGCTTGGTAATTTTTTGAGCAACTTGCTCAGGAAAATACTGGCAGGCAAAGGCTGTTTCTGTCTAAAGCTTCCCAGACAGAATTATATATGCACAAAAATTTGCCTCATATGGAGAATTATTAGCTCAATACCTCTGTCAAGCATTCAGTTTGCCTGTGGGCTACACAAACAAGCTGGATGTGTGATAAAGGGTGATCAAAATATAGAGTAATAACACAAGATTGTAGCCTTAGTTGCTTATCAGCTAATTTTTAGATAGAATTAGGATAGGGCCTTGCTTGCTTATGTGAACTCACAGACAGGATATAGTTAATTTTATAATGAAAAATTTAGCGGGAACAGAAAAACTTAGAGTTTAGATAAGGGGTTTGAAGCTCTTGAGAAAGAGACCTTGAAAACTGAAAAAGAGAAGCTCCTGGAGAAGACACTAATTTTGAGTTAATTGGACAATGCAAATTCAGCAGTTCTTAGCAAAGGTAGAAAGTTCAACCTGAGGAAGACTTCTTACTTCATCCTCAAAGACCCCCGAAAGAAATCCCCAAGAGGGCATTCTGAGGCGGAGTTATAGGAGTGGTGTATGTTAATGATTCCCCTCCCACTTTTCTGGAATTTGCTGACACATCTAATGCATATATAACACAACTAATGTATATGTAATACTATTAATATATATGTAACATTATACTGCATAAAAAGAGCTGAACAAAGGCAATGAGTGTGTGTGATTGGAGGAATTATGCCCCATGCACTTGGCATCATGACTAAACATACCTGCTTCAAAACTCTTCGAGAGTTTTGGGGTTTGTTTCCGCAGGTCGTGTGCACAGTATGTCTAGGAGTTTTGAGCAGTCTCGACTGCAACTTTACAGACAGTGAAGGCCTTGCAACTGATTCAGAGCTGCAGTTTGCCTGATGAAAATGTCTTTTTCAGCCTGAAGGTGTTGTCCTGGATGAATGTATTTTATGTTTGTCCAGAACTTCTGAATGTTTAGCAGCTTGGTCAAGCCTTGTGAGTAGCTCTGACTGAGCAACTGTACATCCCTATATCCTGGGCATTCCTGCAACATCAGCACAGATGAGCCTTATGCTGTAAAAGCAACCAGTCTGAGGTATACTAGAAGTTTTGGGCAGCTGTGCTTCACACAGCTGGAGAGCCCTGAGCTGGCAGGAGAGGGCAGCCTGGTTGCACGCTGCTGCACAGCTGGCAGCTGGCACAAGGCAGCGCCCATGGTTTTTCAGGCTTCAGCAACCCTTTCAGTGCAGAGCAGGGTAATTCCTGAATGGGCTGGCAAGCATCCAGTAAGCATAGCAATTATCCAATATGATACCTTCCAATTCATGCCGGATATAGAGAAGGAGGGAATGTACAAAGAAACCCAAGTACACAGTTGTCCGAGATAAGATCTTTGGACTTCTATTTCACAAGCAGTAATTTTCTTCTAAAGGTGAGCACCAGAGACAGAAAGTGAATTTTTCTCTTTCCTGTAAATTTCTCCTCTGTTTCTTGCGGGGAGAGGAGGGGGGATTAAATGGGCCTTGAGAAGGAAAGAAGGATCACACATGAACAACAGCAAAAGGAGCGAATCTACACTGTCTGATCCTTTCTTATCAGAAAAGCAGTTAATACAGATTTACATAGTGTCTAAAACACTGCCCAAAACATGTTTTTCTTACCTGACACCATGCACTTCCTATTTAGATGAAAAGGAGTGCACTATGCAGTCTGGTATCAAAAATCCTTATAATGAAAGCTATAGCAATCTTCTCCCTTTTATAGTATGTTTGCTTAACACTCAGTTAAAATTAATTCATGTTAAGACTGTGCTGTAACTGAAAATTTGAAATCTATCTTAATTGTTTAGTGTTGTAGCAAAAAGTAAGTTTTTACTAAAATTTTCCCTTTTTTGGGACCTAACCAGGACCAGCAGGGTTCAGATATGATATTTACTGAGTTTTGAGGATAAGCTGCTGAGTAAGCAAAAATAATCTTCCTATATTTAAAACAGAAAGTTTGAAAATCTCTCAATAGTCTATGCCATTGAACTCCCATCTTAGCATGATTCTTATCATTTGAAAAACAGATACTGGTCTTTGCTGATATTAATTATACTTCTGCTGATCATCCAGTCATTAGCAAATCTCTTTCAGCTTAGTCACCCTCTCCACAATGACTAACTGCAAGTAGTATATTGACTCAGTAGGAAGTGACCTCATCATCCTGCCAGATCTGACAGAAAATCTAGCAGCAAATTTTGGTTTTACCTTTCCTTTTCGTCCTTTCCCCAACCTCACTTCCACTATGACTTAGCAATGACTGGAAACTTTTCTGTTACGGAATGAAGACAGGTCTGTACCTTTACTACTGTTTTCTTACATGTTTTTTATTTCATTTACCTAATTGTAAGACAGCAGTTCTGCTGTTCAGACATTTATCAACAGGTGTCAGCAGAACCTCAGTCTTGTGCTACAATGACCATGTGCTGAGGTGTGCAAATAACTCGAATTTCAGAGGAATGTGACTCAAAATATCTGCCCTGATGGGTTTCTGTTTTGGAAGCACTGACTCAAAAGCCTAAGCCCTGTTGATTTTCAGTGAATCTTTGATTCCTATATTATGTTAATCTACTGCACATATTAATTATGATCATTGTATATTGTTTACGGATAATTAAAGGGCTGCTTGTTTTTTGAGATGAATTACAAAGTGGCTTACATGACAGAATGAGGTTTTATTATCTCGGCTACAGAAACTAATACATAGATTTGGCCAATATTTGAATGCACCATCAAGCAAAGCAATATTTCATTGTGGTAAACTGCTCTGCACACCATGGAACAGGATGGGTGCGTTGAAGTCAGTGTCAGGCTGCAGAATCATACTCTAGCTTGCCCTGGGGTTGTGCATTGGTGTGCTTACACCGTGGGTACTGTGAAGTCGGTTAAGTGATGTAGTGATGTCTGTGAAGTGTTAGTATGGAATAACAATTGCAAGGTAGTATTAAATGGTATTTCATCAGCTAGGCAATCTAAACCGTATTTATGGCATGATAAACTTACCTAAATTGATGCATGAGGATGAACACACAGATCAGAGTATCAGTAGACCCAATTAAAAATAACTTTCCTTTAAAGTAGTTTTTAAGGTGTTTTAGGCTCATCTTTTCCTTCTGCAGTGACCTTTCTTGTGAGGTGAAGAATGAACAAAATTCTACCATAGAAGAGACTGATGACCAAATTTTTTTAGTTACACCTAGTTTTTTTTAATCCTTAAATTTGTATCAGATCATTTGCCATTAAAATAAGGATTTGCCAAAAACCAGAGATCACATACTAAAACCTGTGCCCTTGTGTTCCTGGGTAGATACCAAGTCTCAGCTCTCACTGAATTTG